CCCAGCACTGAAGTGATAATCAGGCAGAGCGGCGTTTTACAACTCTGCAGTGCTCACCCCTGCCCCTCTCCACAAGGCACAGAAATACAACTTGTCAGTAGCCAGGACCCTGCAGGGAGGGTTTATAGAGGGAGAGCAAACCTGCCAGTAATGAAGATGGGAACACTTAGGGATATAGAAATAAATGTTTGTTTTATATTTATATTTATTTCTTAATTGAATGACTTTGTCTGTATGACTGCGTTTGACTGTGTATGTCAGTGTCTTTATTACTGTATCTCAATGCCTGTGCCTGTATGACTGTATGTCAGTGTCTATACAGGGCCGGTGCAAGGATTTTTGCCGCCCTAGGCAAAAGTAAAGTTTGCCGCCCCTCCCCCCCCCCCATATGACATCACAATGCCCCATGTTAACTAACGCAAGTGCTGCAGTGCCGCCGTGTTTACATTAAAAGGCCTGCAGGGACAGGCTATAGACACCAGAACCACTACATTAAGCTGCAGTGGTTCTGGGGACTAAAGTGTCCCTTTAATGTGAGGTAAATTAGAGATTAGTGCCACGAATAATATACTAGATTGCCTACTTACAATCAGATGAGGATGGTGATGGGCTCTAGCTGCAGTCTGGCTCCACTCGTCTGGTGTAGAACAGGCTCTCTGGAGGCTGTTTGTGTTCTGGGAGAACGGGAAGCAGCTCCATTTTTTTAAGGCCCTTTACACAGCTCAAGGTCTGGGCCCCAGGGTCCACCTTCATGTTCCACCAATTAGTTTGTTCACAGGAGTAGGGGATGTCCTGATATGTGTGTAAGGAATGCATTGTGTGAATCTGTGTTTGTATGTGTAAGGGCTGCAATGTGTGTTTCTATGTATGTACGGGATGCAGTGTGTGCGTCTGTAAGGGGTGCATTGAGTGTGTGTAAGGAATGCATTGTGTGTTTCTGTGTGTGTAAGGGATGCATTGTGTGTAAGGGTTGAATTGCTTGTGTGTGTGTGTGTCTGTGTGTGTAAGGGATGCATTGTGTGTAAGGGTTGAATTGCTTGTGTGTGTGTGTGTGTCTGTGTGTGTTTTTCTGTGTGCAAGGGGTCCATGTGTGATGGATGTCAATCTCTCCCCCCTCCCTTGTCACTCTCTTCTCCCCCTCTCCCTCCCTCATCACTCTCTTCTCTCCCCCCCCTTGTCCCTCTCTTCTCCCCCCTGCATGTCCCTCTCTTCTCCCCCCTCCCTTGTCACTCTCGTCTCCCCCGTTGTAACTCTCTTCCCCCCTCCCCACTCTCATTCCCCCTCCTAACCCCGTCAATTCCCCTCCCTGTCAATTTCTTATCCCCCACCTTGTCAATTTCTTTTCCACCCTTTCAATTTATTCCCCCCACCCTGCCTGTCCATTTATTCCCCCACCCTGCCTGTCCATTTATCCCCCCCTCCCCCTGTCCATTTATTCCTCCCCCCGTCCATTTATTCCTCCCCTGTCCATTTATTCCCCTCCTGTCCATTTATTCCTCCCCGTCCATTTATCTCCCCCTCCTCCCTGTCCATTTATTCTCCCTCCCTGTCCATTTATTCACCCCCATCCATTTATTCCAACCCTCCTGTCCATTTATTCCCCTGTCCATTTATTCTCCCCGTCCATTTATTCCCCCCACCCTCCCTACCTCTATTGTAGCGTGGCCGAGCCCTGTATGGTCCGCGGGTACAGGTTGCTTTTGTTTCCTGTACCCGGCCCGGACTAAAAGGAAGTGAACACTCAGTGTTCACTTCCTTTTAGTCCGGCCGGGTACAGGAGACAGATGCTCCCTGTACCCGCCGACTATACAGAGCTCGGCCACGCTACAGAGAGGGAGTGACACGAGGGAGCGCTGAGCGCTGAGCGCTTCCCTCCTGTCAGCCCCTCTCCTCATGCTGCGCCTGGGCGGTGCGCACTCATGCACGCACCAGCCCGGGCAAAGCTGCAGCCGCCTGAGGCGCTCTACAGAGCGCTCGGGCGGCTGCAGCATTAGGGGGGCCGGCGCTTCTGGCGGCACCCCTTCCCAAGGGGCGCCCTAGGCGGCTGCCTAGTCCACCTTACAGGTAGCGCCGGCCCTGTGTCTATATGACTGTGTATGTCAGTGTCTTTATGACTGTACCTAAATGCCTGTGCCTGTATGACTGCGTATGTCAGTGTCTGTTTTACTGTATCTCAATGACTGTGTATGTCAGTGTCTATATGTCTGTGTATGTCAGTGTCTGCATGACTGTATCTCATTGGCTGTGCCTGATGTTAGTGTCTGTATGACTGTGTATGTCAGTGTCTGTATGTCTGTGTATGTCAGTACCTGTATGACTGCATCTCAATGTCTGTGCCTGTATGTCTCTGTATGACTGTGTATGTCAGTGTCTATATGGCTGTGTATGTTATTGTCTGTATGTCTGTGTATGTCAGTGTCTGTATCATTGTATCTGTATGTCTGTGCCTGTTTGTCTCTGTATGACTGTGTTTGTCAGTGTCTGTATGACTGTATCTGAATGTCTGTGCCTGTGTGACTGTATATGACAGTGTCTGTATGTCTCTGTATGACTGTGTATGAAACTCTCTGTGTCGGTGTCTGTATATCACTGTATGTCTGTATGTCACTTTCCTCTTCCAAATGTTAAGCAACATCCCGTGACGTCGTTTCCAGTGACATCACACATTCATAATGAATTATGCAAATTAGCACTGCTGGTATTTTTTTTCCAAGAAAGGTGGCAACCCTATATATACAGTACTGTTAACATCCTTCTCTCCCTCGCAGCACCTCATCAAGCTGCTTCACTTCCACTCATTTCACTGTATTATGATTTTATTGTAAACTCTTCTAGCAACCAATGTTTTTGATATAAGTAATCCATTTTACCTTTATCTTTTGTGCAATGTTACCCCACCGCCCTGAGAACGTAAAATCAGTGTAATTGTGTGTGTATGTTTAGCAAAGTGTGTGTTTATTATTGTGTGTCTGTCTGTCAGTTTGTATTGGGGTGTGGATGTGTCTGTCAGAGTGCATCTGTAAACTTGTGTACTCGTCTTTGTGTCTGTGAGTGTCTTTGTGTGTATCTTGTGAGAATGTCTGGAATGTATATCTGAGTGTGCATAAATATACATCTCTCTCTATGAAATCATGTGTCAGAATACCTCTGTCTGGTAGTCTGAGTTGTGAAAGACCATATCATGAACTACTATAGTATTAGGAATAAAGGTTTGTATTTCTATAGTATCTCTTTAATAAAATATGATTAAACAAAAAAAATGATGGAGTAGAAACAGCATTCAACATACATAAAAAGCGTTAGCTGTATAATAGTGCCACACACTATGTTACAATAAATCCAGATTGTAATATAATACAGCTATGCACAATATTAACTGTGTACACAGGACCACTTCCTCTCACAGTCAATCAATCATTGAGGGTCACTGTGTCCTGCCCAGATTGCTATCAGAGCAGAAACCACAGACCATTCTTTACTGTTTACATCTACACAGCCGGAAGTGACGCTGCAGCTTTTATACCTCCCGGAGCATACCAATGTCTAGCTGTAACGGGGGGAGTGATAGATAATTCCAAGAATATTTCTCTCCGAAACGCCAAATAAATTCTGAATTATTGCACTCGGATTGAATTGCTTCCGTCGTGTAATGCCATTCCCTGTCTGTGCAAAGATAGTTGTGTGTTGACCAGCGATGTGGGTGTCGGTGGTACATCCCAATGACGTAGATTGTTTTGGTCCCTATAAGCAGTAGGAAGTGAGCGGCGGGGCTGGTAGGTTGTGCTGGGGTTACTGCGCGCTCTGTGTGTTCTTCTTTATGTTCTATCACTATGTACATTCACGGGTTACATGGGGGCAGTCCGCTTGGCGGGGTTTATGACATGTTGAATATTGTGATTTCTTTATGGCATATGCCTTCCCTGTGCATTCATCATATAATGGGGGCTGGCTGTTCCTTCATAGTGGAGGGGGTTAATCAGCATGTCTAGCAGGCTTATAGCTATGGAGAATGACCTAACAGATTGCAACTTATATCAACTGGGGTTTTAGCTTAAGGTGTAAACGTGGGTAAAATTGTGTGTGTGTGTATATATAATTTTTTTTAAATACATGATATTTTATATATATTTATTATTATTATATAGCGCCATCACATTCCGTAGCGCTGTACATTGGGATATATATATATATATATAATAAAGCGGAGGTCTGCACTCCTGGCATTAAAGTATCAACAAGCTTTTATACCATTAAACTAGAAGTATCCAAGACTTCATAACCGCTTACCAATATTAACCAAGTAGGTCCCGGTTGGGGAAGGGGACTGAAACGTCAACATACTTTAATATTTGTAAGCGGTAATGGAGTCTTGGATACTTATACTTTTTAATGAAATAAAAGTTACTTTACTTTAAGATACTTTAATGCCGTGAGTACAGACCGTCTCTTTCTACAGTTATATTTATTGGCCTTTGTATGGCGCCCGGTATTCTGTTTGATAGAACACCAGCTTTAGTGAAAAGGAGAATAGGGAATGTGTGCAATGGTTTAAAAAAAAAAAAAATTATATCGATATTATTGCTATTGACAAGGGAATTCTCGTATTGGAATAGGATAAACTAAGCGGCAGATTAGTTTTAGAAGATGTCATATGAAGAGCAGCAGCACTTCTTGTTATGGATTTGTTTAATGAAATGGGATTTGCAGAAAGAGCTGAAAGTAAACTGCTCATTTTGGGCTAAAATGTAAAAAAAAAAAAAAAAAAAGAAAATCCAGTATAATTGCTTTACATTAAACCTTGAAATTATCTTGTCGATTCTCAGCAGTTTCTGTTTCAGCAGATACACCCAGGTTGTTTTCTATATGCTGATATCCTATAGGGTGTTAAATATGCTATGTTTTTTATAGGGAGTTTAAAACTTTCTGTCAACAATCCAACTTTAAAAGAACAATTCATTTTTAACATTTGGAATGTTAATTAAATTTTTTACATGCAAGGCAATCTCTCCAAAATAAATAAATAAAGGGGGCAGACCCTGACTCCCTAGCTGACAAGACGTGTCTTGTATGCGCTCCTGCTATCTGCACCGTTTACCCGAGGATATCCCGGGCTACCGAGTTGGGACTAATTGACCAAGGGGCACCCCAACAATTCTATTGAGACCTTGCCTTGCCTGAAGCCCCTCGCTATTGGGGCCTGAGTTGAAGAAAGGCGGCCAATTTCCTCACTCTACTAGGAGCCATACAGTTCTGTGAATCTTTCCTTTTACCTCTTATTCACACAATCTTTGACCTGCATGAAGGAAAGCTAGTCATGTTTTTACTTAAAAATGCTCCGCATGTCTAGCAAACCTTCTCAACTCGATGTATTTGTCTTTTTCGTCAGTTGAATTCTTTAGCTTGACTAAGCTTGACCTTAGTCCTAAGTAATAGCTAGACATGCTCATGCCTTTTTCTTATTTGTTCATTTAATATTTCTTCTCATTTACTAATAAAAAAAAATGTGCAGTAAAAATAAATAAATAATGTTAGGCCACCTTTTTCTCCAGCTTCGAATCCTATCTCACCACTGCTCTGCGCCAGTCCTAGGATGACTGTCTCCCTTTCCAGTCAAAAAGAAATTGGCACACGTGCAGCAATTGCAGTAAACACTCTAATCAAATGCGCCAATTGGCCAGTAGAATGCTTCTCATAGGAAGGTCTATTGCTACCATATGGAAGCTTTCACGTCCGCTGGAATGATCACTAAAGCAGAGTGGCTGTCAGCTTGATTGCCATGGCCCTGCTCTTGAATTAATTCATACAAATGCCAATTTCTTTTGTAATCAGCACTTTATGAATTGGTACAAGGATGCACTTTCTGGTAATCCCTAAAGCACTTAAGCTTGCTTGGTCTAGGCAATAGACTCTCCAGAGTGTCCCTTTAAAAACAAACATATATTTTCATTTGAGTTTTATGTATAACTTCTTGAAGAAGCACTACAGTGTTAGGAATACAAAACTGTATTCCTAACACAATAGTGTCCCTCAGCCCTAAAGTTATTGTTTCCCCCATGCCCCCCGTGTTGAAGAATTGTCATTTTACAGAATTAAACTATGTGAGAGGGCAGAAAGAGCCTCTAGTGGCAGTGTCAGAGATAGCCAATAGAAGCAGTCTTAACCCTTCAATGTAAACATTGCTGTTTCTCTGAAACCTTTTGGTTATATGTTTACAGAGTATAAAGGTAATAATTTGGAATCTCTACATTTTCATTTTCAGGCAGACACTTAACTGCTGGACAGCAATTACTTGAAGCAGAGGATGAATTGCCGTTCAGAGGTGTTAGAAGTGTCCGTCGAGGGACGTCAGGTAGAGGAGGCAATGCTAGCAATTCTACATACTATACTCCTCCACCGCAGCACTGGCAAGTTTCACTATAAGAAAGAAGGGAACTATTCCATTGGCACAGTGGGAACACAGGACATTGACTGTGACTTCATAGAGTTCACTTACGTCAGGGTGTCCTCTGATGAGCTGGACAGAGCACTACACAAAGCAGTCAGTGAATTTAAGGTGAGAGACATCCAATTCCCTCTCTACAATGTATTTAATGTGTGTGTGTTTATTGTTTTTCTTTTTTGTTAAATTGTTAATGTTTCTCCCCTACACCACCCCCAACATGTATATACAGGATAACTTTATCAAAAATAAAACAAATGACATCCATAAAGTCCCATATCCATTCCCCTTTGCTCCAGAGCTGGTCTTCATCCTGCATAGAAATAAATTAGTCTGCCAGGGGTCCATTCTGCCCTTCTTCATTTCTGTATAGGGACTGTGAATTGCAGTCTTCTCCCTACTCCTTCTCAGTGCAACAACATTTAAGGGATCATTCATATTGCATTTTAGCACCAGTGGGAATCTCAGCATACCTTACTGTGGTTCTCACATGCTACAATTGCATTGTGCAAAGTACTGTATGCTAGTTTAGATTCTTAGTTTAACTGTACATACTCCATGTGGTTATTATGAAGCATTATCTTTCCAATTTGGTAGTACTTTTAGAATGTTGCCATTAAAAGAACACTCCAGGCACCCAGACCACTTCTGCCCATTGGAGTGGTCTGGGTGCCAACTCCCACTACCCTTAACCCTGCAAGTGTAATTATTGCAGTTTTTTATAAACTGCAATAATTACCTTGCAGGGTTAACTCCACCTCTTGTGGCTGTCTACTAGACAGCCACTAGAGGGCACTTATGTGTCCATAGCACAGGAAACCTGTGCTAGAGCGTCGCTGGATGTCCTCACGCTGTGTGAGGACCTCCAGCGTCGCTCAGTTCCCCATAGGAAAGCATTGAAAAGCATTTTCAATGCTTTCCTATGGAGAGCTCTGGTGCGCGTGCGCGGCATTGCCACGCATGCGCATTAGGTTTCCTCAGCCGGCTGGCGGGAACGGATTGTTTTCCTGGCACTGGAAAGTCCCTTTAATGTTCATGTCAGAAATATGATATAACTTAAACTATGTAATATAAAACATTTATCCTCAAATCATTCCTGACATATAAATGAAAAATTAGAGCACAAATGTCATTAAAAAGTCTTAATATAATGTTTGCTATATTATAGAATCTCTTTTTAAATTTATCTATATTGAAATTTCAACATAGCCAGCTTTAAGCAACTTGGGTCAGACTGTCGGTTATCCCAGCCAGTGCTCATTACTTTACAACTATCTGTTGCATTTCAAAATCGTCATACAGAAAGTGCTGCACACAGAAAGAGCACATGGATTTAAAAAGCTAAGGACGGTATTAAAATAGTGGACAGTGACTGCAATAGATGATTGTTAGAAAGGGGGACTGGGAAAAGAAGCCTAGAATTGGGTTATTCAAAATTTCAATATACACATACACAAAAAATGATAAAAAATGTGTGATGTAACCCTAAAGATACTAAGATAGTAAGATAGAGACTTGGCAGTGAATGGAATCAAACAGTTTCCAATGTGCAAATATAAAATGATGGCAATTATAGGTATTATTATCATTTATTCCCTATGGTATGCTAGCCATTTCTGGCAAATGTAGAGATTGTCATGTATTAGCTAGCTGTTTTACTTTTGGCCTGGGTACAACTGGAAATAAATATCCCAGCAAAGTAAATTGTAAACACTAGGATGTAATAATAATGAAAAAATACAAAATATATTTAGCACTGTGTTGTGAAGCAACAGCCCACAATCCTCTCAGTATTAGCTCAAAATAAAGAAAAAAAAATAGAACCCGTTTAACAAGAATTCAGTGTGCATCCAGTGCTTCTCCATTTTAATGAAGGACATACAAATCACAAATGTTTCGGGTAAAGATACCCTTTATCAATGTACAATTCCCTTTCAATGACCTCTCAATATTAGTGGCCATGGGGCAGTTGCCCCTCTACTCCAGTAGTTGCATTGGTTGCATTTGTTTCTGCATTCCGGTAATGCCTATTGCTGTATGATATATTTATACTGTATTGATTTTGGTTAGTACAAAAGTTGACCAATTCACTATTTTATGTGAATTGTAATAGTTTTGTGAAGCAGGCTACTAATACACACCATTTAGACTGGCTTTTCCACTGTAAACTATCAGTCCAATGCAGCTGCCATTAGGGGTTGACATAATGTAAAATATCAACGTGGATGTTACGGAATGGTGGAGAAATGTTTGACATTCTTTCCATACACATATCTGTAAATTATTTTTATTATTTGTAGTCATAAAGCGCCAACATATTCTGCAGCACTGTACAATGGGGAAAATAGACAGTATAGGGAAAAAACAAAACAAATCAGAAGGGATAGAGCATCCTGCCTGTGAGTTGAGATTTAGCATTTGCAGTCCTTTTTATTTTTTATAATTCCTTATTTTTGTTGTGCATAAAAAGTAACAAGATATTGACCAGTCTTGACAGTATATCAGAAATCAATTCAATTCAAAATCCAATCAATTTTCAGCATTCAAGAGAAGTAATCTGCACATTTTTTATAATAATGTCAAGCTTAGACAAGGTAACTAACAAGAGAATGAAATCATGCTGAATAATACATGAAATAAGAATAGTGCTACTTTACAATTATGCACAATAGGCCAGGCAATATCCTTATGTCTGAGATAGATGTGACTGACCTATGCCCAGGAGTTTACAATGTCGGTAGACATGCTTAGTATCCATCAGGCTGAGAGTCAAATAAAATAGCTGAAATTAAAGAAAACTATAGCACTATAGAAGACCGAACTATAGACATAATTGCCCTAAAATAGTATAGCATAAAGAGGTTAAACTAAGGCACGTGTTAATGAGTAGACTGGTTAATTAGCCTATGCCTGACACATCATGTGTGCTCCCCGACTGCAGTGTAGTACCAAGTCTCTCTCACCAATACCCCACCAGCCCCAGGCTACCATATAGTCTTATGCACTGGACGCACAAGTCCCTTCTTGAGATTTGTCCAGGACTTGGTCTTGGAGCCCACTGGCATGTTGTTTCTGCTTAGGATGGGTATTGATTCTCCGAGGATGAGGCCTAGCCATGGGATTTTTGGTGAGTTGGTAACTTCACTTCGACGGCCATCTTAGGTTGCTGTTAGACCGCACTTCAGGCATTGCCAGATCCACCAAAGGATAGCTGGTAAGCACCAGCCATGTAAGACTGGCATGCAGATTAGATTTTGGTTCCACAAATTTAATTTGTCTTTCTGCTTAGATAACAATTCCCTAGTAGTAATAATATATGTTTAAAAAAACAATTCTGAGCAAGAACTGAGTGACAAAGGCTTATGCCATAATAATATATTGTTTTATGACTCCAACAAAAAATTATTTATAAAATGTACAGAGGTAATGGTTTATGTGCTGTGTCTCTCTGAAATCAAAGTAGTGATGCGTTTGCCTGGGCAGTGATTACAATGCAGAACCAAAATATTTGTACAAGCTGTTGATAATAAAATAGGAGACATCTGAGAGATATTTATTAAACATTAGGTAAGACATTGTATCACCTTCATTGTTTTCCATAATTTGATTTGTTAAAAAAATTGTTGGAATATTTATTAACCAATGCCAGATCTTGTTTACCTGGATTCTTTGAGAATAAACCATGCAGTGTTATACGTATAAGCAAACAGATCTAAAATAAATAATTTTATTTGTTAGGATGCACTAAGAAACTCTGGAAGTGATGGTATTGGCCAGTTGTCCTTGGAGTTCTACCAGAAGAAGAAGTCTCGTTGGCCTTTCTCAGATGAATGCATTCCATGGGAAGTGTGGACAATTAAAGTCAACGTGGTCTCGCTTGCTAACGAGCAAGAGCGACAGATCTGTCGAGAAAAGGTCGGAGAAAAACTTGGTGAAAAGATCATTAACATTGTGGAAGTTATGAACAAACACGAATACATACCGAAAATGCCTGCCCAATTTGATGTGAACAATGTCTTTGACACAAGTCTGAAGGATGTGCAGCCTTATCTGCACAAAATTACCTATCAGATAACTGACGCTCTGGGCACATCTGTCACAACTACAATGAGGAGACTCATCAAAGACACGTTGGCACTTTAAAGCTGCATGCACTCAGTGGATTGTTTATATGATGAACTGGGATAATTATTTTTTTGCTTCTATAAATTGTCTATTCAGAAAAGATTCCTGTATGTTTTATGTATATAGTGACTACTCATTTTCCTTTAGGACACAAGCCGTATTGTATGTAATACAAATAATAAAGCTAATCCTGAGATTTGCTTTTATTTAGTTTGTAGTAGTGATTAATGCTTATTCAATAGATTTGAGTTTTTCTATTTGACTATTTTCACTAGAACTACAATTATGCATTTTGATAATAGCATGTAAGTAATAATCTAGATTTTTCTTTTAAATACATTTTTATATCTTTATTTTATGATGACAAATGAAGAAAAACTGCTTGAACTTTTAAAGCTCACACGATACCTGTGAGAAAAAAACACATATATCACCTATCACTTAATTTCAATGTCTGGGGTAATACCAACAAATTGAACAACAATGTGTTTGGCACATTCCTACCATTCAAGAATTAAGTAAGGAGATGGATAACTGACAGATTTCTTTCAAAAAAGAGACATTCTGTGGTAAGGTATTAGTGTAGTTTTTTTATGTTTTATAATTGTTATATATTAAAAATGGATGCTGGTGTCCACAATGAACTGTTTCTTTGCATTTTGAGAACCCTTTTTTCGGAATTGGAATAAGACAAAAGTTTTTTTTAAAAAGGGCTACGGGATTGTACATATTATAGGTTGAGCTTTCATCTGCACAGATAGCAGTCGTTTTTCACCGATTTTGGCATTTCTTGATAAAACCACACTGTTTGCTATTTAGAAGGGCAGAATAAGTTATGACTAAGAATCAAATTAATTTATTTTCCACGTTGGATCAAACTGCACTGCGTCTCTAATCTCTTTAAGGAGATTATATGTAGCATAAGTAGAAATGATCTAAATGATTTATTTCTTTGATATGTCAAAGGCACATGGATGATGGCCTTTCCCATATTTCCTTTCTTCAGTGATATTATCAGGATGTGATTATGGAGGAATTATATTTTTGTAAACTTCATTGACCCCAATGGGTACTCAACTTGTGATTTGGACTTGCTATAATTTCCAGCAAATTGCTTGCAAGTAAAACAGGAATCGGCAGCATGAAGAATATTCATATAAATGCATTTACACATTAACAAGGGTATATTGAGAATTTCCAGGTGGTAAATTCAGGATAGATTATTCATAGGGCACTGCTTTAAAGGGAACCTCTGAACACCATAACAACTTAATTGGGCTGAAATTGTTATCATGCCACAGTTAAGCCTGGCTTAAAGGACCACCATAGTGCCAGGAAAACATACTCGTTTTCCTGGCACTATAGTGCCCTGAGGGTGCCCCCACCCCCAGGGTCCCCCTCCCGCCCGGCTCTGGAAGGGGGAAAGGGGTAAAACTTACCTTTTTTCAGCGCTGGGCGGGGAGCTCTCCTCCTCCGATCCGCCTCGTCGGCTGAATGCGCATGTGCGGCAAGAGCTTCGCGCGCATTCAGCCGGTCACATAGGAAAGCATTCACAATGCTTTCCTATGGACGCTGGCGTGCTCTCACTGTGAAAATCACAGTGAGAAGCACGCAAGTGCCTCTAGCGGCTGTCAATGAGACAGCCGCTAGAGGAAATAGGGGAAGGCTTAACCCATTCATAAACATAGCAGTTTCTCTGAAAAAAAAAAACAGAGGTTCACTTATTTCTACACTTAGTTCCTTAAGTACTTGTGGATGGATAACGTCACGCTCTGGAGCTTTGTTTATATTAACTTTGTTTAGTTGCTGCAGTACCTTGTCTTGAGTTAACCAATTACAATTATTCTGCAAATTTTTAGTAGCAATCATTTGCACATCTATTGCCATGGGTTCTTCCTTAAAATATACGAAGGAGAAATAGTTATTTAAAATTCCTGCCTTTTCCTGGTCTTCATTAACTAACACCCCTGTTTCAGTTTTTAGTGTACCTACACTTTCATTTTTTTGTTTTTTTAGAATTTATGTACTTTAAAAATGCTTTGGGGTTGGTTTTGTTCTCTTTAGCTATCATTTTTTCATTTTGAAGTTTAGCAAATCTAATCGTCTTTTTGCACACATTATTGGCTTCCTTATATCTTTTATAAGATGCATCTGATTTATCCGATTTAAATGCTTTAAATGCCCTTTTCTTATTTTTAATCTCTTGTTTTACTTCTCTACTAAGCCACATTGGTTTTAATTTGTTTCTTTTATATTTATTACCCAATGGTACATACTGAGAAATGTACCTTTCTAATATTTGTTGGAAGATGTTCCATTTATCCTCAGTGTTCTTTTCACTAAAGAGTTTATGCCAGTCAATATATTGTAGAGCTGCCCTTAACTTATAGAAATTGGCCTTTTTAAAATTATATATTTTAGTATACCCCATGTGCTTTTGTTTTTTTTTAGTTTATTTCAAAGGACACTATATTGTGATCACTATTTCACAAGTGCTCACCTACTTGAATGTTGGTCAAAAGATCAGTGTTGTTTGTTAAAACCAGGTCCAGACAAGCGTCCTTTCTAGTTGGTGCTTGTACAAGTTGTGACATGAAGGTGTCATGAAACAAGTTTAAAAACCTAATTCCCTTTGCTGAGCTACTAGCCTTCTGTCCCAATTTATTTCCAGGTAATTAAAATCTCCAATAATGTGTTACCCAGATTTGCAGCTTTCTCAATTTGCTCAAACAGCTGTTGTTCCTTGTCAATATTAACACTAGAAAAGCTACAATTTCTGGGGAAATTGTATGGTGTTCTTGCCTCCACCAGTAGTCTACAACTGGAGTGGGCGGAGTAACTTATCATTTAGATAGCACATTTAATTGCAATGTTGTTGCACAGTTACATTAAACCATACATTTATAAAAACATTAGCAGGTGTTCAAAAGGCCCTGTCTATGACATCACTTGCTGCTGCAGCCTGGCACAGGTCAGAGTATTTTGGCGGTTGCCATCTTCAAACGGTCGTATTTTAAAAACTATAAATCCTACAGCGAAGCTTTATATTGTGAGAATCACAAGACCCAGACCTACATTTTGATGCATAGTATGTCTCTGAAGTATTAAAAATGAAGACACAAATACATTTTTGTCTATGTAGTGTAAAAACTGTGGGAGGAGTTAGGGTGGCAAATTTGGCTATAATAAGAATAAGAATAATATATATGTGAGATAACATTAAGTGGTCTTGCTATGCAAGAACACTTAAATATATGTGAGATAACATTAAGTGGTCTTGCTATGCAAGAACACTTAATTAGGTGGTTTATAACATATCCCAACCAATAGTTGATTTCCCTTCTTTTCCCCCAGGCAGATATTTACCCATAAAGCTTCCACATTTTCCTCATCACATTCCACTTGCTTAAAGGGACACAGTAGGCACTGTATCTGCTTCATCTCATTAAACTGGTTATAGTGTATGGAGTCCCTGGTGCCATCATTTCTTTCAGCATTAAACAGTTTTTAACGTTGTAATGTTTTAATGCTAAACAAGAGACCCCGGCAGTCCATCCCCTCTGTGCTGCTTTGGCTAATAAGGAAGTATTACCCTGAGCAGCAATGGGCAGCTGTGATTGGCTGAAAGTGTCAGCTGACTGCTTTTAACCTGTCAGAGCTCCAACTGACGGTATGAATGGGTATGACAACAAGGAAGTGTGTAATCTCTGCCTTAGCTACACATACAGAAGGGGCCGGACTGTGGATGGCCAGGGACTCTTATTTTGTGGCATACTGCACAAACATGGTGCAACACTGAAAGGAGGGACAGTGCCAGGGCACTCCAGGCACTATAACCAATTCAAAGAGACAAAGTGGTTATAGTGACTACAGTGTCCCTTTAAGATTTGACTTTAACTCATGGATGACATACAAACATACCCCCGCCCCACCCTTCTTGTTTTTCCTATCCTTCCTAAATAATGTACCCATTTAAGATAATTGCCCAGTCATGTGTCTCATCCTGCCATGTTTCAGTTATGCCTATTATATCATATTGTTTAGTGTATGCTACTGCCTCTAGTTCCCCCATTTTGTTATTTAGGCTCCTTGCATTAGTAAGCATACATTTAATATCATGAGTCACTTGTACTTTTTGTGAATTATCAACATTACATACCTTCTCTGTTCTGAGCTTTCCCCTCCCCCCATCTCCACCCCTCTTATACTGAGCTAAAGCCCATCTCCTTTCTGTCCTATCTCCATTTTGTAGATTGCTATGACCCTCCCCCCCCCACTACTAGTTTAAAATCTCCAACCTTCTAGCCATCCTATCCCCCAGCACTGCAGACCCTCTCCCGTTTAGGTACAACCCATCACTACTATAAAGGTTGTACCCGCAAAGTCGGCCCTGTGCTCCCAAAACCCTCCTTCCTGCACCAAGACTTCAGCCACGCATTGACCTCTCTAATCACCCGCTGCCTTTCCACTGTAGTGCGTGCCACAGGTAATATCTCAGAGAATACCATCTTGGAGGTAATTTTCTTAAGTTTGCTACCTAATTCCCTGAAATCATTCTTTAGGATCTTCCATCTTCCTCTTACTTTGTCATTGGTACCAACATGGACCATGACCGCTGGGTCATCCCCAGCCCCTCCCAATAATCCATCCACTCTGTTAACAACATGCCGGACCCGAGCACCCGGGAGACAGCAAACTGTCCGGTTGAGCCGATCAGAGCAGCAGATTGCCCTATCTACTCTCCTAATGATAGAGTCCCCTACCACCACAACCTGTCTTGCCTCCTTACATTTTGATCCCCACCCGTACTAGAGGGGCTGTTAGCTTGGCTGTTAGAAGTAACAGCTTCCTCTAATACAGCTAGTCCTGAGCTGATGCTCCCAACATCTTCACTCAAACGGGCAAATCTGCTAGGTTGCACTAAATCAGGACTTGCTAGCCCTTTCCTCTTCCCTCCCCCCCCGCTTCCTCGCGCTACTGTCACCCAGCTACGTGCCTGTTCCCCATCTGTCTTATCT